AGCTGCAAACCTTCCAGTTCGCCTCTGAACTTTTTTCATGTAAGTCGGAGATGGGATGTTTATAATTGATTGAATTTGATCCGGGTTCGCCTTGATTCCCCGCTGAGTTACTAAATAGCCTAAGAACTTGCCAGAGGACACTCCGAATGAACATTTGGACGGATTGAGTTTCATGTTGTATTCCTTTAGAACATCGAAGGATTGCTTCAGGTGGTCCAGGTGTTGCTCTGCAACCAGGGATTTTACCAACATGTTGTCGATGTAGACTTCCATGGATTTTTCGAGTTGATCAGTGAACATACAATTCACTAGCCGTTGATATATTGCTCCAGCGTTCTTGAGCCCGAACAGCATGACCTTGTAGTAGAAAGTGCCTCACTCCGTCACAAAAGCAGTCTTCTCTTGGTCAGTTGGGTATATCAGAATCTGGTTGTAGCCGGAAAAGGCATCCATAAAGCTTAAGAGTTCATACCCAGCTGTTGAGTCAACCATCATGTCGATATGTGGAAGTGGGAAGCTGTCCTTCGAACATGCTTTGTTCAGGTCTGTAAAGTCAATACAAACTCTCCACTTACCATTCTTCTTTTTTACAATGACGACATTAGCAAGCCAGTCTGGGTAATAGACTTCTCGTATGGAGCCAGCTTCTATGAGTTTTTGTACCTCTTCATTAATAATACGGTTCCGTTCAGGAGCAAACCTTCTTTGCTTCTGTTTGATCGGAATGTAGTGGGGATCGACATTCAATTTGTGCGTCATTATTTCTGGGTCAACACCGGTCATGTCTGTGTGGGACCAAGCAAAATAGTCATGGTGTTCCATGAGAAACTTGATAAGGCATTACCTAAGCGTCGGCTCTAACCTTGCCCCTACATGAGTTTTGTGTTATGGAAAGTCGGGTTGGATCTGTGCTTCATCTAGCTCTTCCACGTCAGGAAAACAGGCAACACAATTTCACCCAAAGTGTTCTTTTGTTCACCACTGAAACTGATCAGCACTGTCGTCCGATGAGTAATGTTTTCTTCTGGAATCCCCATAGCTTAATGGTTTCGAAAAAAAATATATTCACACTACTACCATTATCTATTAAGATGCGCTTGGTCAAGTAAGTGGCGATGTTCAAAGATATGACCAAAGTGTCATAATGGGGATTGAGTAGTTGCGTACCCTCAAAGGTAGTAAAGCTGATGATATGTGGTGAGTCTGACTCACTTACTTGGTTTAGACTCTGGCAAAGATAAACTGCTCGACGTGCATGTTTCCATGCCGCTGCCCTCGTTATCCAGCTAATTTCTGACCCGTCGGTGATAAAGTTAATAGTTTTATCATGTGTCGGCACGACCATTGGACCAGAGCCTGGCTTACCATGTGATTGTTGTTGTCGTCTGGCAACATTCTCTTTTCCTTTTTCAGTTAGAAGGTCGGTAAGGTGTCCCCGCTTCAACAGCTCCGCCACTTCCAATCTCAAGCCAATGCAGTCGTCTGTTCGGTGGCCATGGTCTGCGTGAAATTCACACCATTTAGTCTTGTCGCATTGGTCACTAGAACTTCTCATTTTTTCTGGCCAATTCACTTTGCCGCCTATCTCCTTCAGTACTGCAATTAGTTCTGCTGGTCCGATTGAAAGGTTGTATTCGAGGATCCCAACCTTTGTCCTTTCAGAAGGACGATCAAATGGTCTGGGTAGCTCTCTGGGCTTGGTGTCCCTCATATCTAAGGTAGAATAAGTACTTGTAGGCCTTTTCTCAACCACGTTTTGTCATCGCGACTCTTCTTTAGCAGGTTGTCATTTGGTGAAATTGAAGTTAGCATCATCATCTTCCCATTTAATTTGGGCCCAGGCTTTAGCCAAGACATCCTCCATTGTACTACATGGATATTTGGTCAATTCCTTATACAAATCAGTGTCGGGAGGAGCCCCTTTTGAAAAGCTAAAATAGCAGTTTGTTGGTTGCAGCTAGGAATGGAAACTTTTTCCCGGTTGAATCGTCTGACAAATTCACGAAGTGATTCACTTCTCCTTTGCACTATATGATAGAGATCGTCAAATCGCTTCTCCAATTTTCTGCTACTTGCAAACTACTCATCAAAAGTATTAATTAGTTGTGCAAACGACGATATAGAATTGTTTGGAAGGTTCGTATACCATTGCAGGGCTGGCCCCACAAGGCTAGAACCGAACCCCTTACACATGCAGGCCTCGCCAAGGTCTCTTGGTATAGCGGTAGTAAACATTCTCTGTGTGTATTGAGCTATGTGATCGTCCGGATCAGCCGTCCCGTCGTAAAGTTTCATGTTTGGGAAGATGAACTTTCTGGGCATTTCCACTAGGGCAATCTCTTCAACAAAAGGGGAGTCGGTGAAACAACTAGCTGCACGCTTTTTGATTGGTACGGGCATCCCAGGGGTACGTTGAACCATAGCTTCAATAACCGCTAATTTTCGTGCGAACTCTAGATCTTGTCTATTGCTGGGTTGTGGTTGTACGTCTTCCAACCCACCATTCAGTGGCGTGGCGAATTGAACGTTCGAACCAATGCTCCTAAGTCCATTTTGGTCGAGTGAAGGTGTAGGCCGGGACGGGACGGACGTACCAAAGTTGGATCGGATGCCAACGATTCCACCCTTTCTTGAAGGTCTCGATTCTCCACACGGATGGCAGCATTCTCCGCTTCTAGTCTCTCCAATTTTTGTGAATTCTGCATTGTCAACGCAATAAGTTGGGCTAGTTGTGTAGTTACTTCGCCGTTAGAGTAGCAGGTTGGGAGTGTGTGGAGGCAGGATAAACAACATCATGCTGAGCAACCGTCGACTGGATTGGCTGGGTCAAATGGGCTTGCTGTGTAATGGTTGGCAGAGCGGCGATATGACTTAAGTTGTCACCCTGTTGCCTTGTTGCTCCTCTCTCCTGGCCAATCATTCATTCCATTCCTTGACGAGTAGTTTCATCCACCACGTAATCGGGAGAGTCCTACATACGATGGATTTCGGAAGTTCCGACATGGTGATTGATGAATAGTAATGGTAAAAACTTTGTTTAGAAAGAGAGAAAAAAAAAGAATGATTGCTAGGGCTCGACGGTGGGCGCCTTATTGTAGACGATAAATTCTACAGTTGATAAATTCAGCGAGATTTGTTGGTTGGTACTGGTAAGATCTATTCAGTTAAGATTCCCAACTTGCTTTCAAATAACTTCTATTTGATCTGATCAAATCTTAATGTGATTTATCTTGTAGATAAATTATGAAGGATTGCGAATTGACATGTGGGTCTTATTTGGCCCGATCGACGTAACGAACTAGGCCAAAAGATATTGTGTTCATCAAATAGGCCATCTGTGGGCCTTATTTTTTGGACTTGGGCTGTTTGGGCTTGTGGAACGATTTTTACCACTACAATAGTATTGTGACCTTAATATATTTAATTAGTAAAATATATTTGATCATTTATTTAATTAATAAATTTTAATTATGACCTGATTTTTAAAACTTTAAAAGAACTTTCTTAATTTTGAAATTGTATCTTCTAACTACTTTAAACCCTTGTTTGATTCAATTTTTTCCCAAATACATTTTTATCTCTTTTTCTTTTCAATTACACATTTTTTAATAAAATAATATTACACATAAATTTAAAATTTTTTCTTATTTTTTAACAACGCATTCTATATCAATCTATTATTCAAAATACATTCTACACAAAAAATGGGGCTCAAATAGACTTTAAATATGTAATCTTCCCTTGATACTTTCCCTAGAATATATTAACTACGGATTTGGGCCACACCAAGTGATTTGGCCCATATCATACTTTCAGATAAAACCAAGGACTTGTTTGAG